TGTTGGGATTAAGTTTTGCCAGAAAACACGCTGGCATCTTGACATCCATAAAGAGCAGATGCATACTTGCAGACGGGCGGCGCGGGCATTCATCTTTTTGCCAGGGTTTCGTCTCTGAGATTCGAACCCGAGACAGGTTTCACCGGCATGGACCAAGTCTTGAGTGACTTGAAGGGCACGCAGTCCGGCCACCTTTCCTCAAGTGGACGCATGCTGTCAGGAATCATCGAGAAGACAGCTGCCGTTCGCTACTTGACCACGCAGCTCCAACGTGGCTGCGTCGGTCAGTCCAGTGATTTTAGTGTTTGGTTTGGCAGCGTGAAGGCACTTAGCCGAGGCAAGCCATGCAGCTGCCAAGAAACAGGCACAAACTGGAGCCCAGCAGGTCCGACTTGTGTGATCCATCTTCCATCACTTTCCACACTTGCACTACGCACTTCCGGACGCTGGAGCCAATCTTAGCGCAGTGAGACTAAGGCCTAAGGCATTCGTTCACCTTCCGGTTGAAGAATGAGTCTTGTCGTTGGCCTGAGTGTCCGGGAGATTGGATGGTGCGAGGCCTCTTCCATTGTTTATCTCTGTTTATTTCTGTACTGTGCTCTACATCACCCCTGGGGTGTTCCAGGGATCTGACTGCCTTTGCGGTTCTACAGCTTAACGGACATCCGAACTGTCAGGCGTCAAAGCCGTGATGGGTCGATTCTGTGAGTTGACCTGTCGATCGCTTTTTTGCGGCTTAGCGGGCAGATGAGGTTCCATCGAATGGGATGATGCCCGGTCATGCGCAGATCAGTACGTGCTAATAGTATTGATGACCTCATGATGTTTGTCCGCCAACAAAGCTGTCTCGAGGGCATTCTCCACACATGTGGTTATCTAAATATCTCCATATATGAGCAGATGCCTTCCAGGTTGGTGATTTTCAAAACTGTGGATGTCAGATCTTGGTTGCGATTTCTTGGGGCATCCTTTGGGCAAGCAGAGACTTGCCACTGGCTGCCGTTTTTCAATTTTGATGCTTGACGTGGCCGGCAGTGATGGGCGCTACATTTAAGCTGCCCTGCAGCTGTCCTCGTCGGGATCACCGCCTTGAGTTGCACCTTTCCTTTCACTTTGGCAACCTGAGACTTGCCGCAAGCTTTCCGATTGTTCTTGGTTGGTTCCTGGCAGATCCAACTCCAATCTTGTAACTGTGGCAGAGGCTGAAACAGGTTGTCACCGTCCGTGGTGGTTCGTTTATGGCGAAGATGAAGTGACCCGATCATCCAAAAGGCCTAAAGCAAGCTTGCCTGTGGATCGGCCGAGCACCCACAGAGCAAAATCGGACAGAGCTGCGGCCTCTACAGCAGAGCACGGCACGCCAGTGCTTTTGATTTGGCTGCGGCGGCTAGGACACCAAGGGGATTGAGAGCAACAGTTGTGATTTGAGTGTCATGAAGTGTGCAACTATGACTAGGCCTGGTGGGCACAACAGCTTCTCTGGTGTATACCTGCAATGACTAGCAGTTTTTGACACCCCGTACTCAGGCTGACTCAGGCATCTGTAGTACATAGCCCGCATAAACGGCAGGAAGTGCGGGCGTGAGGGATTTCACGGTGCTACTATGACAACGCCTAGGGCCAGGAAGACTGCTGCAATTGTATTCGAACCGCTGCTGCTAGCGCTGTTCTAGCGCTGCTGCTGCTGCTACTACTACTACTTCTTCTTCTGCTGCTACTACTACTACTACTACTACGACTACTGGTACTACTAACTACTGCTACTGCTACTACTACTTCTACTACTCCTGCTCCCATTGCTCCTGCTGATGCTGGGGTTGCTAGTGCCCCAATGGTGCCATCCATGCTAACCACCACATTGAGTTTTACGGCTGCGACGACTACTACGACGAGGACAAGGGCAGATATGGCAACGGCGACGACGACTACCGCTACTATAGCGCTACGACGACGACTACGACCTCCACTACTGCTATCTGCTACTGCTACGTATCGTAAAGGCTATGTTTAGTTTGCAAGAAGCAGGGAGTACATCGCAGTAATACTCCTGCCATTCTCTCGAGGTGTAGTGCTCAGGATGCTTGTTATCGCACAGTTGTGTGCTTCATTTGTGATTTGGAGTTCTTGCAGGTGCTGGTACTTTTTCAGAGGGATTGCGAGGGGTTCTGTATTCAAGCCTCAGGCATCTTGCTCCGGTCAAATCGTCGGTTTTTGCAGGTCTCGTCCCCACCGGTTACGCGGGGCCTTCTTGTAGTCTCGTAGTCTCCCGCACCGGATGGGATGTAAAGAAAGACGGGGCTCCCTGCTCAGAAGGCGACGTTGCCAAGGTAGGCCGGCCAGTTTGCGCGTAGATTGTTGGCAGAATGGGTTCTAGAATGCTCTTACAAGTACGACAGTGCGGAGCTTCGGATGGAAGCCTGTCGGAGTCTACGTGCGATGATGCTTGGTCAAGATGTCTTCGGCAAGTAGTTGCTTCTTGATCAAGTGTCTTCGATTCCAGAGGAATGGATTTTAATTTTGAACCTGAATAGGGAAGGCAGAACATCCAGCCAGCTGCTTCCATTAGCCAGAAGCAGACGTGGAGCAAGCCGGTAGATTTCGGGGCAGATTCTCAGGGCGCTAGGGATGTCCAGCAGCGTTTCCTGTTCATTGTCGTTGCAGCAGTTGCATTGTGCTGTTGTTGCAAGTCTTTGCATAATGACTGCCAGAACAACCGCCGTTCAGGCCTATAGCGACCTTCCAGGGCACAGTTGCTGCAGCTGGGGTGCGGCGGTAGTACAAACTATTGCAGTACTACTGCTACCGCCACTTCATTCTACTGCCACTGAAGCACAAGTACTACTTCCTTACCACTGCCACTACCACTATCACTGCCACTACCACTACCACTGGTACTACTACTGCTGCTGCTGCTGCTGTTGCTACTCCTACTACTCCTCCTACTATTACTACTACTACTACTACTACTACTACCACCACCACCACCACCACCACCGCCACCACCACTCATTGCTAGTAATTGTCCTATTATCACACTTATGGTCGTTGTTGGTTAGTGGCAGTGGTAGGCAGGTGGGTGTGGGCGGGTAGTTGAGTGGTAGGTAGGTAGGAGAGCGCAACGTCCCACACCGGTTTCGCACAGAGCCAGCTCGGAATGTGTGGAGCTAGTTGCTGGCTTCGTGGCGCAATGCTGAAGTTGTGAAGCTGGAGCACGACAGTCTTGGATCAACAGAACTCGTGACAATCTGATCATGGCACCTTTCATATTTGGAGGAGTGGTCGTACTGGTTAAAAATGGTCTAAAAAGATAGGATTTAGCTGATATCTGCAGGTCGAGCAGGGCAGCTCCGAGACAGAGCCGAGAGGGAAGGCGGAAGCGGTTCTCCAACACCCCCCCGATTCTGCTCAACTCGTTTAAGAAGGATGCAGGGCATCGAGATCGACCAGCCTCTCCAGGCGCTTGGGGAATGGATTGAAGCAGATGCTGAGGTGTTGGTGGTAGAGTCCTGGTGGAGCTTCGCCGCAGGTCTCGAGCCCGGTGTTATCAGCGTTATTGCCTCGGCGACCTGCTCCGAGGCAGCAGAGGCGGCAACCATAAAAATCGGCACCGATTGGCATAGCAGCCGGGCAGTGCTTTTGCAATGCCAGGCCGCAGTGCGAGCTGCTTACGAAGAAGTACTGCACCCTTCGCTCGAGCTGGAACCTGGCAGGAGGCCTTCTTAAGAGATCCGACGCCTAAACCTGCCCCATTCAGTAGAACCGAACTGCCACAGCTGCAACAGCAGTCGAACATTTGGGGTTCTGGAGGAGGGTATTGGGGGTTGAACTGCAGCCGTACCGTGTAAATGCTTCGCAGAGGCCTTCTGGCTTCGGGCTTCCTGAAAGCTCTGAGCCCAGAAGGGTGCACTTCGGGATGTGTCCAGGCAGTTATGAGGAACATGCGGCTTTGCGTGAATTTGCCACAGTTTTTCTTTGCCCAGGCATTGCCTCTGTGGGCTCTGAGGAGGCCGCACGGTTGGGTGCGGCTGCTGCCGCCGACTTGCTGGAAGAGGACAGGACATCCCTGAGCCACGGATTGATAAGGTTTGAGGCTTGGAGGTTTGGATCCGAAGCCAGGGCTGCCGAAGCGTATTTCATGAGGGGTACAGGCCTTTGTCCATGGCCTCGCGAGGCTTGAGTTGTAGACCCAAGTCCAAAGTTAAGGACGAGTCCTCCCACCGCAAAAGCCGGAAAGCAACCCTAAAACCGAAGTACATGAAACTGGAGAGACCGAATGCCACAGGCCACCGACTTGGCACCTTCGGGGGCGGCATCCGTGCGAACCGCTTCAAGCTGGGAGGAACTACTCGCAAAGTCATAGTGACTGGTTTCGGTCTCGAGCCATTTGTCTTGATTGGGTTCTGCTGACTTGTTTCAGAACGCTCTCGACCTTGGACTGTGAGGGTCCACCTGAACTATCGAACTCGGACAGCCCAGGGCTTGTGTGCCATTTGGAAATTTTCACAACAGTCTCATCAGCACCCCACGGTGGCATAGGGTCAGCGCTCAGAAGGGCTTGGAGCACACCACTTCCAGGAGCGGATCACTACGGAGGTGACGGGAGACGTGCTCCCTGACACGCACGGCCCCCGAGGAGGGAGGGAGCCTGCAGAGACCTTGACTTCTGCAAAGAAAATGACTGAGGCATGATCACGCAAGGCTCGTGGAGCTGGAGTCTCAGAGACGATTCCTTCACTGCAAAGCTCTTGTCGTCGTGGATGCGAGCATCCTTAGCGAAACATCAGCCGAATCCAAAGATCCAAAGCCAGGCAAAGCCGAAATGGCCGCAGTTCCGGCTCGAACATATTGGTTTGAGACCCCCTGGTTTGCTGTCTTCCGGAGTGCCGGTGTCATTTGTCAGAGCCCCAGCTCCGCTCGTGAGACGCCTGAAGCGATTTAAGGCTTCCAGGCGAGGTCACATAATTTTGCACAGCTCTTGTGCCGTCGTGGTGAGGAAGACTATGGTTCCCTCCACCGAAATCCTGGAGCACCCTGGTTGTCTCATCTACCGGGTACAGTGACCGGCCTCTTTGTAGCATCTTGGACGAACGCTGTGCTAGGCAGCAGCCAACTACCAGCCGCTTCTCCGCAGATGTGGAGGTGCAGGGCAGTGCAGGATTATCCAGCTCTTGACCCGACGAGCACTTGCTCACCTTTCCGTAATGCAGCGATCTGCATCGAGACGAGGCTTGCTTGCGACATCGCTGAGTGGAGTGGCAGGCGGCGAAGCACAAGTTCGAGCGCTGCGAAAGCTCCGCCAGCACGGAGGCCGCCGCAGAGAGGCGCGATTCGCGATATGCAGTATGACGGGGCACCAGTGTAACCATTGCGATCTCGTTGTAGCAGTAATAGCAAGAGCTGTGAGCCCAGAAATGCTCATACTAGCAGCAACACTTAAAACCATGAGCATAAATGGTGCTCAAAGTTCGTCCAAGATCCCTGCTGAGCCGCGGTTGTCATCTGCCTGGGTGCAAGTGTTTTCAGCTACTTCATTGAGGCATCTGTGCCTCGCAACTTGAAGGCTAGTCAAGTTCCCAAAGTCACTGCCACAGTCTCTGACGGGCTTCCCATATTCTCTTACTTTCTACACGCCGGAGTGCTTTTCACCACAAGCTGGAGGTCACACCTGGAATCATGGCATTTCTTGTGTGGTGTGCTGGCTGGGGGGGGGTTCTCTGGTTGGCGCATGTGGATGCTTGGGCAACACTGTATTGACTGTATTGACATTGGCCGGTAGCGATAACCCGGTAGTATCTTCTCAACAGCTGTCCCGGTCGAAGGTTCCCGCGCTTCAGCTCCGACAGCTCCAACGAAGAGCGCGAGGTTGAGGCCAGACGTTTTCGATGGGTTTCGGGTTAAAGGGATATGTGTAGCGAACCCATGGCATTCCAATCGGAATGCGCCCAGCATGGAGTGGGGTGATCAAAAGAAGTCTTCTCAGCACTCCAGTCAGCTGGAAAAGTTCCGTGGTTGGTGTTGTTGCTGTCGTTGTCAGGTGTCGCCAGCAGAACGACTGAGGCTCGAACGCGAGGCTGCCGGCGTTCATGCAAGACTTAATCTGACAGACTTTGTAGGCACCTGACTCACACGACTGTTTCCAGGAGCATGATGATGAAAAGGCTGAGCGCTTCCGTGAAGTACGCGCCACGCCTGCCTCGCGTCTGCAGTTTGTGGGAGCATGGTGTAGCCAAATGCTGGAACTGCAGAGAAATCTGTGCAATTCGTGGTCTCTCCCTATAAGGTCATTGCCCTGCTGCTCCTGCTCCTTTTCGTTTGCTGGGCCAATCCCATGGTGTTGCTGTGGGTGGCTTCCCTTGCAGCTCGGCTCTAGAGTGAATCTGTGTTCCAAGCAACCCAGCGCTAAAATTTAGGGGATTGCGGGATCCGAAGAAGGGACTCACTCTTACGGGCAGCCAGATCCCTTCAGCATCAGACGGGGCTGATGTCTAGTATATCTGTTTGTACAGTCATATGAGTCATATGATATGGTATGATATGTCATGATATGATATGATATGACGTGATACAAATTGAAAAAGGGGAACACTACTTCCCCGAGGGTGACCGCACTAGTAGCAATCAGCTGCAACTATTCCTCTGCAGAACACAGTGCGGCCCTGCCCTAGTTTTCAGCTGCTCACCAGCGAAGTGTGTGTCTGTGTGTGTGTGTGTGGGTGGCTGCGTGGGAATAGAATGTAATCACTACACACACAGCATGCAACGAGACAGCCAAGATTACAGCTTCTGCTTGTCTGCATGCTGGAGCAAACACAACACACAGGGCTTAAGGCTTAAGCTTCTTGCCTTCCCCAACCAACCTTAAGTTACAGAACAGGCACCACTCCAAAGGGTAAGGTGGGTGAAACCAAAGCCGAAAACCAGGAGCCGCAAGCAAGAGCACAGGGTAGGGGTGGCGTGGGGGAGGGGAATCGGGGGAGAGCGAAATGTTGGAGTTCGTCTTGCTTTCATTTGTTACCCACCGCTGCACGAATTGGAGATCCTTTGCTGCCCTATAGCTCTGACGTTTCAAACAGGTGGGTCTTGTGGTAGTGCTTCCGAACGTCGTCTTCAATCTTCACTTGATGCTCGTGGCTTTGCAGCAGCTATCTTGCCTCATAAACACCCGACACCCACCCTGAGCACGCGAAGCCCTAAACCATACACACCCCAACCCCTAGACACCCTCAGTGCTACACCCTCAATGCTCTCTAAGCTCCAGAGCCTCAACGCCTGAAGCCCGAAACACGGGATGTCCTACACAAGCACTGCTCTCATTCCTCTTTGTGCTGTGTTGCCTTGTTGCAGAGGCCTCCAACCCCGACCTGGACTCTGATCCCACTGTGATATTTCAACGGCCCAAAGCCCGAACCCAAAAACCGTCAATCAGTGTTTTGGACGGATCGAAGCCTTACATGCCCGATATCCTAAATGCGAGGTTCACGGTCGGCGCAACGTTTGTTCGATGTTGGCTCAACCTTGGTTCGATGTTACTTGCAACCGGATTGTCAGGTCTTAAAGAGTTTTTGACAGGGTTTTGCAGGGTGTTATCGGGTTTCCTCTGCCCCTTGCTCCTCCCCCTCCTCATCCTCCTCCTCCTCCTCCTCCTATACCACCACCACTACCCTCACTACTACTATCACTGTTGCTGCCGCTGCTGCTACCACTACCACT